CTTTATTCTGTTGGATACTACTACGATACCTCGCTATACATTGTTATATAAGTATTGCTGTGCGTACATACATACATACATACATACATACATACATGCATGCATGCATACATACATACATACATAATACATACATATATACATACATACATACATACATACATACATACATACATACATACATACATACATACATACATTACATACATGCATACATGCATGCATACATACATACATATGCATACGCGCAGACATGCCAACCGACAGACAGATAGACAGACAGACGGAACTACAGAACGACAGCAATACAGACAGACAGAGACACAGACAGACGGACATTACATTATATCACATCACGTAACATCACATCAATACATACATACACTGCATTACATTAAAATACGAAGAGGGAGGGAGGGAGGGCCGAATTACACTTCACAAACAAAAGGTGAGCGGTCTACCTGTAGACTCTAGACATTCCAAAACTCTCAAAATCTCTGTCGGATGGACATCGATCGGGGGTATCAAAACCGTGCAGTGCCACAGTCTTCCTTGATGCTTCCGAGCCCTCTTACGGGTGCGGTGTCGCGCTCATTGGAAGACAAAAGCCTCCCACCCTCCAGAGAATCTCTGCCCAGGCCTGGAACCTCATGAGGTCAGCGAAGGGCTCATGGCTTTTCCGGTTAACCAGCATGCCCTCCTAGTGCTCTGACCCATAGGCGGCTTGCCTCCACCATTACGGTAAAGCATGCGGCTTGAACTGATGTAAACTCGATTGTTCTGTCTGGTCTAGTCTCAAGAACTTATAGGCCATACCGGATTTGGGAAGCTTGAAACTTCAATATGTACATATATATGTACATATATATATATATATATATCACAACTCCGATAGCCCAAGCTACCCGGCCTTTGACAGCCATCTCCCTCGCCATCATGAGCCCAAATCCGGAAAGGCCCCCAGTCACAATGCAGCCGCCTGGAACGCAAGGGCTTTAGGGTTTCAGCACTCACTCTCGAACATGTCTAGGCGAGGTTCCTGGTACACGACGATGTGCTTTAGGGTTTAGGGTCTACGGTTTTAGGTTCACGGCTCTGGTTTCGGGGGGTCCACGGGATCCTGTGGGTGTCAGTCTGCACACTATCTGAGCCTCGGGTCGCAAGAAAGAAGCTCGGGCTTGTCCCTGGACGACTTGCATCTCACGTCCCAGTCTCCGCTCTAAACCCTAAACCCTAAACCCTAAACCCTAAACCCTAAACCCTCTAATTTTATGTAAGCACACCGACTCAGATCTGGAGATTCGAGGGTCCTAGAGTGCACACGCCGCAACGGCAGGTTGGGGTTGGGCCTGAGATGCGCGTTGGGCTCCCGGAGCAAAGGGCTCAAGCTCCAGAAGTTTAATGTATACGCCTGAATAATTAGAATAGGGTTTGGGGGTATATTATGCTATATACTATCCAAAATATTATAGGTAATTATCGCCACCACCATCGCCAATCCACCGGAACATCAGCCCCTGCTTTCAACTGGCCCAGGCCAGAGGGAGACAAACACACGCGACTCACAACTTTCTGCACCACCCATTAATGTTCGCACCAATACAAGAAAGCGCAGATGAAGCCACAGAACCTGCCTTGCTTTGTATATGGGGGAATAAGAAGTTAATTTCGGAGAGTCCGCAGGTGTCGCCTCCCGGTATTGTAGGTCATGTTGTTTCCCGACTGTCAGCTTGCCGAGGCTTACGCACAAGGTCAGGGTAACATCCTCAACTCTACAACTTTGGAAAGCACACAACTATACCCCCAAAGCCCTGAGGAGCCCAAACTTTCTAAAGCCACAAACCTCCTAGACGCCCTTAAGCACGGGCTGCTGGACGCCTTGCTGGGCGGGCATGGCGCTGTCGGTTCTAGCTGCGGCTTCCCAAAGCTGCTACACACAAAGCCACCGGGCAGGAGTTTAGCCTATGAGGTTTGCTCCTTGAAGCCTACCTTATTTGCAACAGGTTTTCGAGCTGTGCAGAAGAGAACAGACTAGGGAGGCCAAGCTGCTTTTGCTGAAGCGATGTTGCGTGTCTTCTGCATTGCAAGCTGTTGCACGCAGCACTGCGAGCAAAAAAAGGTGCGCGTAGACGGAAGCTGACATGCTATGCTGTCCTGCCAGGTCTTGAGGCATGGCGATCACAAAAAGTTGTGGCATGTCTCAGACATCAGGTTTTAGTCCACAGTGTATTCGTGTTTTGGCTTGGCATGCTACGATCCGATCTCTTTGGGGGCATCCAAAGCTGAACTCGTCCCTACCGAGATATTTCAGGAGCTGGGGTCCAGCTAGCATTTCGTGGATCGGGGGCTGTTTTCTCTTGATCTTCGCCCCTTCTGGTTTAATTCGCAGAACTTTGGCCATTTGCTTCCACCTGCTACTTGGACGGATGCTGATGGATCTCGTCTCTTCAAAATCCTTTTCGGTCCAACGTGTCACTACAGTTCAGTGAAACAATTCATCGAGAAATGCAGATTCTGATCTACCGATGTCCGAGGGAGTCTGTCAAACAATGGAGACCGCAGAGCCTTGATATATGGACCAGTCTCTTTGACAACAGGGGCTTTCTTGCTGGATCGGTGCTGATCTGTTCAGTATCAGCTCACCCCATCCACGATGCATTGGGCCGGCTATCGGGCGACGACAAAAACAGACCCCATCGTTGACCGACTGTCTTCAAACCGCTGAAGATCACCACAAGGCATCTGCATTTTGGAGAGACTGCGAAGACCGAGATCCGACCCTACACCTGCCCCCGTCCCACAACTGCTCAAACCCTAAAGCCCCAAAGCCAAAGGCAAAGACAACAGAACGAAGGGCGATGAACCCAAGCACTGCCTCTTTCCGACCTCTCCGGCACCTCGGCCATCCTCCGCGCGGAGCAACTCCGCATCCACTCCGAAACACCTCTCGGCAGCTACAGAGATTGGGGCCTAAGAAACTATCAGGATTCGATTCGATTATAGGATTGCAAGGTGTGCAAATCTGTAGACGCTTCAACAATCCTCAACAACACTCGGCAACTAGTCTAGAGAGTTCCCGCCTTGTATCCTGCTTGCACACGTAAATCACAACGCAACTCTTTTCAACTTGTTCAACTCGATGCCGGCAGGACTCCGAATTTGGCTTCCCACAGACGCTGGAGATGCACGCCACTGCCGTCGACATCGTATGGTGATATTGACTTGATGACCCTGGCGATGACGATGCTGAGTGAGAATTGCCCGCCATCTTCAGGTTCACATGACTCATGCTGGCTTTGGAGTCGACACGAGACACTTCCGAGCAACGCAGGGGGAGTTCTTTAAAGGTATTTTTGGAGCAGCTGCATAACGCAAGAGCCGGCTTGACGCTCAAGTTATGGCGACAGATAAAGTCCAGCCTTCCATGAAGTGCCAACCAGCCACCTGGCGGCAGCACGAACGGGCTTGTCAGATGCCGACTGTAAGTTATAACGGTTACAAAATATGCTATAAGCACCCTCTGCTGTCGCAGAAAATCTATCCATTTTTTTTCAGATGCCGCTGCGGCTCCACACGCAAT